CTTATAGATCAGAAAACATATTTATCTCCCTTAAAGTCGCAACTCAATCAATTTGTAAAGTTGAGATTGCAACGAAACTGAGTATACTACGTTTGAAAATGTGCTCTGTTTTATGAATCTGGTGAAATAAGGAGTAATTCGACGTGCATTTCGGCGAGAATTCACTATAGAGTAGATGAAACCCAAATATTGTATTCAAAGAAATAACGAGTTTAATGACACAGAACATAACAAAAACAACAAAGTGTGCGGTATTAGAAGTTCTGTCGTTGTTTTCTAGAACCCCGTTAGTAAATACATATTTTGGTATAACAAACCTTAAAGCTATTGGATCTATAATTCCTCACCTCCCACTCAAAACACCCACACGTTGATAAAAATCTCTTCCCACGCTTATGTAAAAACAACAGTCCAATTAACGAGTTTCATGCCACTTACTTCGAATAGCACTGACATATAGATGTACTATCTTTGAATGTTCTTGCTTCAAGTCCGGAGGGACAGCAACAAAGTTACACTCTTCGCGTGGTTCTAAAATAGACTGGCATGAATTATTCTTCGGCATTCGCAAACTGTACGTGATGTATCTTCTAGCTGTAAAGTAATGTAAGAAAAACACGAGCATGGAAGGTTTTGTTAACATCTAACAATCCGATATTTAAAATGCCATGAAATACTAAAATAAACTTAATCAACTGATCAGACGTTTTTCTAGTAGATTTTCAGATGAGAAACATTCAAATATAGTAAGATTTAGTGCATAAAGCATCTCTTCTGATACCATGTTGACAATATTTCAAATCGATATTCAGCATTGCTCTAAAGGCTTAAGTTCTCTCAGATAAGATAACTGAACACTTTCTGAAGAAATCACGAGAGTGATAGAGTAACTAAACATATTCTGAAGAAAGCCTTAGTGTTACATGGGAACTGAACACATTCTGAAGAAAGCCTGAGTGTAACATGGCAACTAAACATATTATGAAGAAAGCCTGAGTGCTACAGGATAACTGAACACATTCTGAAGAAAGCATGAGTGTAACATGGCAACTAAACATATTATGAAGAAAACTGTGTTGTACAAGATAACTGAGCACATTCTGAAGAAATCCTGAGCGCTACAGGGTAATTGAACACATTCTGAAGAAAGCCTGAGTGCTACACGGAAATGGAGCATGTTCTGAAAAAAAACTGTGTTGTACAAGATAACTGAGCACATTCTGAAGAAATCCTGAGTGCTACAGGGTAATTGAACATATTCTGAAAAAATCCAGATTACTACAGGATAATTGAACATATTCTGAAGAAAGCCATAATGCTACAGGATAACTGAACATATTCTGAAGAAAGCCAGAATGCTACAGGGTAAGTGGGCACATTCTGAAGAAAGTCTGAGTTCTACAGGATAACTGAACATATTCTGAAAAAATCCTGAGTGCTACAGGTTAATTGAACACATTCTGAAGAAAGCCTAAGTGCTACAGGATAATTGAACATATTCTGAAGAAAGTCTGAGTGATACAGGATGACTGAACATATTCTGAAGAAAGCCAGAGTAGTACAGAATAACTGAACACATTCTGAAGAAAGCCTGAGTGCTACGGGATAATTGAACATATTTTGAAGAAAGCCAGAGTGCTACCGGATAACTGAACATATTCTGAAGAAAGCCTGAGACCTACAGGATAATTGAACACATTCTGAATAAAGCATGAGAGCTACCTTTGGCTGTAAAACTAAATAGATGGGTATACTGGTGTGTGTGAATCTATAAACTCCACTAAGCTGATTTTCACATCTGAAGCTATTAAAATACTATATTGGACGACAATCTTTAATACAGACTAATCTGGATTAGTAAAAACTAATACTGCTCTAGACCGGAAATCTCTGTCGGTCATGATATGGGTTTGTTTGTTTAAATTTCACAGCACCCACTTTGTTTTGAAAAAGATAAGGAAAGTGTTGATACACCAGGTTTTGAGAATAAATACTCCCGGTTTTGAGGATTAAAACGTTAAAAATTTATTTATAAATATTATTTGGACTTAAACATCTGAGATACGTATTACTATGTTAATGAGGAAATTATTGTTACATAACTACATATCTCAAAAGTTGACAGTCGTTAAGTTCAGAGAAAGATCAATACGAACACGTGCTTTAATCTCGTGAAAATAGCAGACACTACCGATAAGAAACAAACACGATCATGTCCGCGAAGAGTCCTAACTAGTAAGCTAGATAAATATCATTATTTGTTTATGAATACCTGAAGGAGTCCTCATCTGCTTTGATCCTTATACACAAGGAATAGTGGCGGAAATCTCTTTCGATTTGAAACAAAAATGGTCTTTACACGTACATTCTGAAGTTACACTGGAGATATCAAATTACTACACCTAATACAGATACACTCGGAGCCAAGAAACACGCGTGCAATTGTTTTAGCAGTTAACAGGGCATGAGCAGTTCCAGGTGCACGAACGCTGCTCCGCGAGCAAATGTTACATTCTGACTGTTAAGAATGCTGCCACCTCACTCCAGCTGTAATACTCCACATGTAATACAAGCTACTTCTGTTTCGGAACAGGTTTCAGAGAAACGCGTGCGAATTTGACGTGTCTTCCTACCTGACGATCGTACTGGTGAATTCCCACTTACGTCACTTTAACGGTACGCGACCTTGTGGCGTCCCTGGAGAACCCGCGGGTAGAAGCAAACCGACAAGATAGCTAGCTTCCTAAAGTTTGTTTGTTTGTTGAAGCTACTCGGGGGTTATCCGGGCTAGCCGTCCTAATTCTGAGGTGAGAAAATAGCTAAGGCAGCTAGTCCACATTACCCACCGTCAGCTCTTGGGCTGTGCTGATATTTTACCAACGATTCGTGGGATTGACTGTGACATTATAACACCCCTCATGGCGGAAAGGGCGAGCATGTTCGGTGACGAGTTTCGATCCCGCGACCCGCAGGTTACAAGTCAAGCGCCCTAACCGCCAGGCCATGCCAGGCTTTGACGTATTGAAGAACAGGGGAGGCTCCAGAGCTATATTTCTGTGACAAATGTTTAAAACAAGAAATCCCTACCACCATATCATGACCGACCATGTATGGGAAGTATTTCGAGTTAATTCAAACGAACCTAATACGAAACAGATGTGAATAAATCAGATCACAACGAACAACATTGCAACAAACATTTATTAAGGCGTTATGTTAATACTATTTGGAAACATGTTTTTTAAGAGCTCGACGTTTCGGGCAGAATATTAAAGTATGAAAAAAGGAGATCTGCCCGAAACGTCGAGTCAATGAAATACATACTTCCAAGTTGAATTTAAATTACACCGTGTAATTTGATATAAGCCAGTTCCTGTTACAGAAAGCTTTGGTAATTTATTTTACATACATACAAGTTTATAATTAAGGATAAGTGTACACACATACATATAAGTTTATAATTAAGGATAAGTGTACACACATACATATAAGTTTATAATTAAGGATAAGTATACATACATATAAGTTTATAATTAAGGATAAGTATACATACATATAAGTTTATAATTAAGGATAAGTGTACATACATATAAGTTTATAATTAAGGATAAGTATACATACATATAAGTTTATAATTAAGGATAAGTATACATACATATAAGTTTATAATTAAGGATAAGTATACATACATATAAGTTTATAATTAAGGATAAGTATACATACATATAAGTTTATAATTAAGGATAAGTGTACACACATATAAGTTTATAATTAAGGATAAGTGTACATACATATAAGTTTATAATTAAGGATAAGTATACATACATATAAGTTTATAATTAAAGATGAGTATACATACATGCAAGTTTATAATTAATGATAAGTGTACATACATATATGTTTATAATTAAGAATGAATGTATATATATATATATAATTTTATGATTATGGACAAATATATATATACATATACTTTTATGATTATGGACAAATATATATATACATATACTTTTATGATTATGGACAAATATATATATATATATACTTTCATAATTTGCTATGTGTGACTCAACGCAGATTCATTGAACTTAACTCTTAAACAATATCAATTAACTCAAAAGTTGTATGAGTCGACAGGGTTAAACAACAGTCTAGAAAGTAGCAGACTTTCAGTTTTCATGCCCATCAATAAGTAAAAAAAAATATGATCTCTAAAAACAAGAACTAAAATGAATTTTTTCGTGTGGCTGTACAAAAAAAGATGCATACGGTTATTTCATGAAAAAGATTAGATCACGACCTTATTGCGTGTAGTGACCAACGTTCGTCATTCTAATCACGAGCGCCACCTGTATGAGTAAAGGTCAAACTGCTTTCATATAGAATAAGTTGTCCTTGAACATCATTCATCATTTGCAGTGTGGTGGCAACGGGGTTCATGTGCAAGATATGATTTATTGAATATGATTTAGGTAACGACAAAATGAATGTTATTGTTTTAGGTAAAACAAAACAAGAGAGAATCCTCTATAGCCGCGGCTGTAATTAGATTTTAAATCGGTCAAGAGATGGAGCTATAAGCTAAAAGTTTGAGGTTAAAAAAACTCAGACCCATTTTTTGAGCAACTACGTCGCGGCTAAAAAGCTTACTCTCTCGCCAGGATGTATGTGTGGAAGATACAATATAAGTATTATTATATCCTGATAATACACTTACAGGATGTATGTGTGGAAGATACAATATGAGTATTATTATATCCTGATAATACACTTACAGGATGTATGTGTGGAAGATACAATATAAGTATTATTATATCCTGATAATACACTTACAGGATGTATGTGTGGATGATACAAGATAAGTATTATTATATCCTGATAATACACTTACAGGGTGTATGTGTGGAAGATACAATATAAGTATTATTATATCCTGATAATACACTTACAGGATGTATGTGTTGAAGATACAATATAAGTATTATTATATCCTGATAATACACTTACAGGGTGTATGCGTGGAAGATACATTATAAGTATTATTATATCCTGATAATACACTTACAGGGTGTATGCGTGGAAGATACAAGATAAGTATTATTGTATCCTGATAATACACTTACAGAGTGTATGTGTGGAAGATACAAGATAAGTATTATTATATCCTGATAATACACTTACAGGGTGTATGCGTGGAAGACACAAGATAAGTATTATTATATCCTGATAATACACTTACAGGATGTATGTGTGGAAGATACAATATAAGTATTATTATATCCTGATAATACACTTACAGAGTGTATGTGTGGAAGATACAAGATAAGTATTATTATATCCTGATAATACACTTACAGGTTGTATGTGTGGAAGATACAATATAAGTATTATTATATCCTGATAATACACTTACAGGGTGTATGCATGGAAGATACAATATAAGTATTATTATATCCTGATAATACACTTACAGGGCGTATGTGTGGAAGATACAATATAAGTATTATTATATCCTGATAATACACTTACAGGGCGTATGTGTG